CTGCTTCCTCTTCAAAGCACAGCAGTGGTCAAAGATCAGACACGGAAACGTAAAAAACAAAAAGGGCAGAGCAGACTTCCTTTAGAAGAATCTTTTCACAGACAATTGAACCTGCATAGGGATAACGTTAACATGCAAACTGAAATTAGAATAATTTATGAGTTTTTTAATTATTTTGTGGCTAAACTTTACAGCTGACAACATTGTTCAAAATTATTTAAAGTAAGCAAGAGGTGAACTCGAGGCGCGAGTGAATGTGTGAAAGGTGTGAAGGGTTTAACATGCATTAAGCACTCCAATAACACTTCTAATAGGCCAGTAGGCTTAACATGAACAGATACTCTCAACTGCCACTTTATTAGGTACACATTACTAGTACTGGGTTGGACCCCTTTTGCCTTCAGAACTGCTTTAATCCTTTGCGGCATAGATTCAACAAGGTACTTGAAATATTCCTCAGAGATTTTGTTCCATATTGACATGATAGCATCACGCAGTTGCTGCAGATTTATCAGCTACTCATCCATGATGTGAATCTCCCGTTCCACCACATCCCAAAGGTTCTCTATTGGGTTGAGATCTGCTGAATGTGAAGGTCATTTGAGTACAGTGAACTCATTGTCATGGTCAAGAAACCTGTCTGAGAAGATTTGCGCATTATGACGTCGCGTTATCCTGCTGGAAGTAGCCATCAGAAGATGGGTACACTGTGGTCAAAAAGAGATGGACATGGTTAAAAACAATACTCAGGTAGGCTGTGGCATTGACACGGTGCTCAATTGGTACTAATGGGCACAAAGTGCGCCAAGAAAATATCCCCCACACCATTACACCAGCACCACCAGCCTGAACCGTTGATACAAGGCAGGATGGATCCATGCTTTCATGTTGTTGATGCCAAATTCTGACCCCACCCTTCGGACGTCACAGCAGAAATCAAGACTCATCAGACCAGGCTATGTTTTTTCAATCTTCAATTGTCCTGTTTTTGTGACCCTGTGTGAATTGTAGCCTCAGTTTCCTGTTCTTAGCTGAAAGGAGTGGCACCCGGTGTGGTCTTCTGCTGCTGTAGCCCATCTGCCTCAAGGTCGGACATGTTGTTCATTCAGAGATGCTCTTATGCATACCTTAGTTGTAACGAGTGGTTATTTGAGTTACTGTAGACATGCCCAAAATTATTGAAACCCCTGGCAAATTCTGACTTAAAGTTACTTTTTTTCATAATAATTCCTCTTGTATATCATCTGATTGTCTTTTAGGAGAGGCGTGTACAGGAAAAAAAATTGTTGATTAAATAAAGTAACATATACGTTACTATATATATATATATATATATATATATATATATATATATATATATATATATATATATATATATATATATACTGTATGCATACAGACACACACACACACATAGATATACTAGTTTTTTTTTCTTCTAAAGATACAAGACATTTTGTTGTCTCTCAGTGGATACATATGGTTTATCGACGATAATACATTATCATTATCGCAATAAATACCATAAAATAGTGACATAATTTTAAGTCCATATCATCCATGCCTTTAATTTGGTTTAATTTATTGCCATAACCATCGCCTCATTGAAAAAAAAAACATTCTGTGTAATCAATTATTCTGCTTATACCACACCCAATGATGTTGTTCAGATGATGTATTTTAAGACATTTGTATGATTTTTAGGACTAGATTCATCTCATCTAAAGCCTTTTTAAAATTGTTCTGATTGTGATAGAACTGAAACCATTCAGCAGAGTGATATAGAACTGTAATCTGGTCAAGACCAATCTGGACCAATTGTTTGCTGATTTGAAAAAGACAAAGGACATCTGGTAATGCATGTCACAGCAAATACAAAGGCCTAATTGTTTGATTCTAGCTAGAAATTTTATTAAAAGAGTAATCTAGATTACAATTAAGTAATATATATATATATATATATATATATATATATATATATATATATATATATATATATATATATATAAATTAATTTATGTATTCCAATTATTGCAGATATAAATTTGATATATTACTACATGTATTATTTCAAAATTTTTAAATATAAATGTTCTTTACTGAAAGAGATAGAAGGTTAGGGGGAAAGTGCACATAGGAGAGCTATTTTTGACGCTGACAAATGTGCATGGCATGTGTGTTTTTCATTCAGATGTAGGTGTGAAGACACAACACTTGGTCAGTCCTGTGGTTGGTAAATTGTCAAACTTGCAAAGCGTAAGCAGGTACAAACAAACAATCACATATAAGATAACATAAATGCATACATGCACAGTATTTACTATATTAATATTATTAAAACATTTAATCGGTGCTAAAGTGAATTTTTCCATTGATGTTCACCACATCAGTTCTAGACTGAGCATCTTCTTCCTGTCAGCCATTCTACAGGAAATTATGTCATGCACTGTGGCCTCTAAATAGAGCTCTATTTATCACATTTTATTTTACTTATATAGACAAAAGATTAGTTTACGCTTGAGTTTGGGATTTGTGATAGTACAATCCCAAATCTGTTTAGAGCAGCTTATTCACTTTAACCCGACTGCATTTTTCAAAAAAGTTTGTATTCTACTGACTTTTATTGTGTTTTTATTTGAACTAATTGTTCTAGCTGTCCTGTACGGTGACCTAGAGTGTCATGAAAGGCGCCTTTAAATAAAAAGCATTATTATTATTATTATTATTATTAAATCAGAAAAAGTTGGGAAAGTATGAAAAACACAAATAAAAATTGTAGTGATTTCTTTTTTCAATTTTTTATTTTGATGCTTCTGTAAGTGCTTTGAGTCTGAGAAAAGCTCATTATTAAAAAAACTTATTATTATTATTATTATTATTTGCATTATTATAATTATTATTTTAATTATTATTTGACTTGTATTTTATTGCAGACAATATGAACACAACATATTTCATGTTTTGTGACCTTCATTTCATTTGTAAATATACATATTTTCCTAACATTGAGACATGCAACACATTCCAAAAAAAAAAAGGTTGGGACAGGAGCAATGTAGTGCTAGAAATCAGATAAATTGGTTGAATAATGATGTGATTTGAAACAGGTGATTTTAACGGGTGATTGTAATTATGATTTGGTATAAAAGCAGCATCCAACAAGGTCTAGTACTCTAGGAGCAAAAAAAAAATGGGTCGACCAAAATTATTGAAATGTTTAAAAACAGGTGGTACGGCGTCTCAGTGGTTAACACTATTGCCTCACAACAAGAAGGTTGCTGATTTGAGTCCCAGCTGGACCAGAAAGCATTTCTGTGTAGAGTTTTCATGTTCACCCCGTGTTTGTGTGTGTTTCCTCAGGGTGCTCCAGTTTCCCCCACAATCCAAAGATATGCAGTTTAAGTGATTTGGTTTAACTAAATTGGCCTTTCTGTGTGTGCGTGTGTGTGTGTGTGTGTGTGTGTGTGTGTGTGTGTGTGTGTGTGTGTGTGTGTGTGTGTGTATAAGAGTGTATGGGTGTTGCCAGTACTTGGTTGCGGCATCCGCTGTGTAAAACATATGCCGGAATAGTTGGCCATTTATTTTGTTGGGGCGACCCCTGATAAGGGAGGAAAAATTAATTAATGAAAGAAAGACATTTAGAGATTTTATCTTCAACAATGCATTACATAATTAATAGATTCTAGAAATCTGGAAAAATTTCAGTCCATAAAAGACAAGGGTGCAAGCCTAAGCTGAACTACCATGATCTCCGAACCCTAAGGCGGCACTGCATCAAGAATCAACATTCATCTATAAGCGATATCACCACATGGGTTCAGGACTACTTTGGCAAACCTTTGTTGAGTACCACAATACATAATGACATCCACAAATGCCAGTTAAAACTGTCCTGTGTCAAAAGGAAGCCTTATGTTAACAGTGTCTAGAAGCGCTGTGGACTTGTCTGAGCTTGGAGGCATCTGGGATGAACCATCAAACAGTGGAAATGATTTCTGTGGTCAGATGAATCAGTATTTCAGATATTTTTGGGAGAAATGAACGCCATGTGTTCCTGACCAAAGAAAAGGATCATCCAGACTGTTACCAGTAACAAGTCCAAAAGCCAGGGTCTGTCATGGTATGGGGTTGTGTCAGTGCCCTGGGCAAAGGTAACTTTGCATTTCTGTGATGCACCATTAATGCTGAAAAGTAGAGATTTTAGAGCACAATATGCTGCCTTTTTTCAAGGGACACCCATGCATATTTCAATAAGACAATGCAAAACCACATTCTGTACACATTACAAAGTACTGGCCGCAGAGGAACAGAATACAGAATACCTGACTCCAATAGAGAATGTGTGGTAAATTCTACAACAACAAAGACACCATACTTACGCCCCATTCACACGGGGCTTCAGCTTCAACGCTTGACAGAGGGCATGTCTGAAGTTGAGGGTGGAGCGATCGTCATAGAAGCGTCAGCCAATGAAATTCAGTTTGCAATAGGCCACTGTCTAGCTGGTGTATTTGCATACAGCGATCAGATTGCTTGACGTCGGCGCTTGAAAAGTTGAGCTACTCCCAACTTCTGCAGCAGAAAGTAGAGCGAGAGTCAGAAAGTAGAGCGAGAGAAGAAAATAAAAGAGACGGCAAGTTTATAATCCAACTTTGCCTCTTCCTTGACCATGTGTCCAAAGCCCAAATACTGAGACATTGCAACTGACCAATAAGAACTTCATCAATATCTGACCACAACTTAAGTCCACACACATTTTAGCCATGCCCTGATCTTTATCAGCCATCTGTATGGTTTGC